CAGTGGATAGAGTGCCCAGCCTGAAGTCAGAAAGACCTGAGTTCAAATCCAGCTTCAGACACTTCTAGCTCTGTGATCCTAGGGAAGTCACTGAATCCTGTTTGTTTCAGTTCCTCATTTGTAAAATGAGCTGGAGAAGGAAATAGCAAACCACTCCAGTATCTTTGCCAAGAAAACCCCAAATGGGGTCATGAAGAGTCAGACATCACTAAAAACGACTAAACAACAACAATTAGCCCAACAAGGGACTGACCTTAGGGGCCCTGCTGTAAATCCTTGGCCTATCATAAATCTGGCTGAAATCTCTTGTCACTTCTGGGTACAGAGTCCCTCTTATAAAAATAATCATGATGATAATCTTTTCTTGTAGTGTTTTGCAGTTTATACACCTCTTTTGCGTACATGCTCTCATTCAAGGGGGAAGGGAGTAAACATTTACTGAATACCCACTATGTGCCAGGAACTGTGCCAAGAGCTTTTTACAAATATCATCTCATTTGTTCCCCACAACTACCCTGGGAGGTAGATGCTATTATGATCCCCGTTTTACTGATGAGGAAACAGATGAGGCAAACAGGTTAAATGACTTGCCTGGGGTCTCACACCTAGTAACTGTTGGAGGCCAAATTTGAACTCAGGTCTTCCTGACTCCAGACTCAGTGCTTTCTTTGAGACCCCTCTCCCCGCTGGAGGCTTAGGCCAATCTTGCCTAGGATTCTAGGTAGTAAATGGAGAACGGAGATGGCTTAAAGGCCAAGTCCTTGATTCTGCCCCAAAGGGACAGAAGCTAGGTGTGTGGTAACTCCTCTAAAACAATACCATCTGCACCTGAATGCTGCTATATGCATCTGAATACATGAGGATAATACAGGTGAGGACTCTGATCTGAGACTCTGAGGGTCTGATCATCTTTCCATCAAGAGATTCTGGAGTTTTTTATTTTATCTAATGATAAATTCCTCTCTGTGTTCCAGTCTGACATTGTGACTTTTTTTGAAGGCAAACAGGGCTGGGTCCTTTTCTCTGCAAAAGCTATGTGACCTCACACAATTTATTCTCCAGGCCTGTTTGCTCACCTGTAAAATGAAAGGGGCGAGCTCAAGAGACCACCTTTGGTATAAGTGGAAAGAGCCAAGACCTACATTTAAATACCTGTTTTATCATATGGCTTTGGGCGAGTCATTTTATTTCTTTGGTTCCTCATTTTCCTCATCTATGAAGTGAATAAGTCAGACTAGATGGTCTCAAAAGGACCTTCCAAGCTCTAAAATTCTATAATCCGTACTGTTCTGTGCCTTAGTTTCCTTATCTGTCCTGATTAAACTGGCTTTAGCTATCATGTAGGCTTGTGGTAAGGACAAAATGAGAAACTAACCTTACTTCCAATACTGTTTTTATAACTATATAATTTTTTTAAAGTTGTATATGAGAGGGAAGAGACTTCCTTCCTTACCTTCTTCCTAACTCTCACTCCTCAGCTATACTGCATTACTTTCTGGTGTCCAGAATTAAAACTCAGTCTTTACTTTCTTCTAACAACCAGTGGCTCTGATCCAAGTGATGTGAGGGTGGGGACTGGACCAGTTGGTGCCAGCTCCAGGCCTCTGAATGTTGGTACCACTGCTCCCAGCAATAGAAATATATGTGTTGAGCTTTGTCCAGTGTATTGAATGTGCCTTGGGTGGGGGTGGAGGGTGGGGAGAGCTGGGAACATTGCTTGTGTGGGGATGGTTATAGAGCCATCATGGATCAGTCTTGGTCTGTAGATCTCTGTCGACCTTCTGGGAGGAAAGATCGATAAGTTTACCCAGTCCTCGCTGACTTGGGAGGACTTGGTGCTTCTTAATTGGGATTGTCCTGAACTGCCCTAGCTAGGGAGCAGGGTTGAACCAGAAGGCAGAAGGTTGAGCCTTTTCCTAGTCTTTCACAATCTTCCCTCACTTCCAAAAATCAGTTCACAGCTGGCTAAATAAATAAATGCCCAAATAGATGGAAACAGTTCCTTCAGCAACTAAACTAGCCTTCCTTCTTTCCCTTCCCCTCCACCTCACACCATGTTGTCCCCCCCCCCATGTCTCTTATCACAGGTGTACTTTGAGTTGGTAAACATCCCAGGAAACTAGGCAGTCATTCACTTTCCCTTTCCCAAAGGGAAGGCCAGATTAGCTTCTTTCTCTTTGACAGCTGGCCTTACATTGACAGAGAAGCAGCCAAGAAATCACCGTAGTAGTCCAAGCCTGAGCCTGCCTTCCATCCTAAATACCCCTGTTGGCATTAACTTTCAGATATGATATCAGACAGAAGATATGCTGTTTCCTGTGTGCCAAGCACCGTGTTAGAATGGAGGGCAATATAGAGAAGAGTAAGATAATGTCATTGCTTGAAAGGAGCATAGACACTACTTGGGGAAAATGAGGTAAACACACCTAGGGAAGAATCACTGTACCATTATGGACCAAATGATGTGGTACCTTTTAAAGGCTCAGGGTTGAGATGAATAGGGCTAGGCTGTCCCATAGGAGTTTGGATTTGAGCTTGAAGGACTAATAGTGTTTGAATAAAATGGAGTTGGGGGCATCAGTGAGCATAATGAGGAGTTTAAAGATATCTGGTTTTGGGGGTTTTTTTTAGGCAATTGGGATTAAGTGACTTGCCCAGGGTCACACAGCTAGTAAGTGTCAAGTGTTTGGTCTGAGGCTGGATTTGAACTCAGGTCCTTCTGACCTCAGGGCTGGTGCTTTATTCACTGAGCTGCCTAACTACTCCATTTTTTTTTTCCAGGCAGTCAGGGTTGCGTGACTTGCGTAGGGTCACACAATTAGATATCAGTATTTTCAAGCATGTATGTCAGCCCTGTCCTGACAAGTTCTTATACCCTGACCCTGGCACTAACTATAACAGAGAAAAGCATATCTGCTCACTTGCCTTGTGCTTTGGGTAATCTTTTCTCTTCTCTAGACCTTGGTTTAGGGCAGCTAGGTGGAGTCACAGAGCACCAGGCCTGGAGTCAGGAAGACTTTTCTTCCTGAGCTCAAATCTGGCCTCAGACACTTACTAGCTGTGTGACCCTGGGCAAGTCACTTCACCCTGTTTGCCTCAGTTTCCTCATCTGTAAAATAAGCTGGAGAAGGAAAGAGTGGCAAATCACTCCAGTATCTTTGCCAAGAAAACTCCAAAATGGGATCATGAAGAGTCAGAAATGACCAAAAGATGACTGAAGAATACCAGAAGTCCTAGACTAGAGGATTTTTAGGGTCTCTTCCGGTTCTAACATTCTAGGACCCTGACCTTTATGAAATCTCTTGTCTGATGGCCCGAGAGGACCACTGAAGATTGGTGTCTGGGACTAATGGCAGGTGGTCTCTCCCTTTACCCACTCACAGCTGCAAAGAGAGAATGGTGATAACAGCAATACCACTTTATCCCTGTACAGGAAGCTACTTTTCCCCTCCAAGTGCTCACTTGATTTATGCCAAATAATCCTGTGAGTTACACCAAGCAGGTATCGTTATTTCCACCGAACGGGTGAGTACGCTTGACAGTTGGGTGGTACAGTGGTTAGAGCACTGGGCCTGGTGTCAGGAAGGCCTGGATTCATATTTGGCCTTAGATACTTCCTAACTGTGTGGTGCTGGACACAACCTCTGTCTGCTTCAGTTCCCTCAGCTGTAAAAAATGGGAATTATAACAGCCCTGACCTCCCAGGGTTGTTGTGAGGATCAGATTAGATACTGTTTGTAACGCCCTCAGCACAGTGCTTGGCCCTGAGTGGGCTCTGTATGAATGTTAACCGTTACGCTGAGGCTCGGACAATAGGACTTTGCCCAGAATCATATGGCTTGTTAGTGGTAGACTAGTCATTAGAACTCGAGCCTTCTGACTTCTACTCTTGTTCCCTTTCTAATACAATCCCAGTGGATGTATGATCTCACCAATGCTGGTCTTCCCTCCACCCATGCAGAGGACTCTCCATTCATACTTGTCTGTCCTATGTGACTGGTCCATATCCTCCATCAGTTTGCTGCTGGGCACCTTTTTTTTTTAATTCTTTTGGTGATGGAGCATGAAGGTTGTTCATCTTTTACCCCTCATTCTCTGTCTCCCTCTCCCTGGTCAGACATTTCTTTAATGCAATCTTTCACTTGATTTTCCTGCCTGATTCCTTCTTTGTAATTTATTGTAGTCTGCTAATAATAATAACTGACATCTCTACATACCACTTTGAATACTTTAAAAATAGCATTATAAACATCCCATTTGACCCTAATGGCAATGTTCTGAGTCCAGCGTTCTGTCCCCTATGATATGCTGCTTCCCACTATACCATGGGCATAGTTTCATATATAACCTCTTTGGAAATGGGAAAAGGGACAGCTGAATATAGCTATTACTCAGCCGTTTTTCAGTTGAGTCCTACTTTTTGACACCCCGTTTGGGGTTTTCTTGGCAGAGATACTGAAGTGGTTTTCCATTTCCTTCTCCAGCTCATTTTACAGATGAGGAAGATGAGGGTGAAGTAACTTTCCCAGGGTCAGATAGTAAGTGTCCATGAGTCTTCCTGACTCTGGACCCAGTGCTCTAGCCACTGTGCCCCCCTAGGTGCCCCCAACAAATATAGGCTTGAACATATTTCTAAACATTCTTCTGGGGTGGGTTTTGATGTGTTGATGGTGTCTTGGCTTGAGTAGAAAAACACATTTTTGAGGATGGCAGTGGCTTCTCAAAGGACTAGGTATGGTGTAGAATAGCGTGTAATGGCAGAGCTCCCCTAAGCCTTTGGAGGCCTCCGGTCCTGTTCTGTAGGAGGCATTGGGGAAGAAATAGAGTATGTTTCTCTTTAAGCATTCCCCACCCACCCTTAGGGCCGAGTTCTAACTGAAGTCCTGTTGAATGCAACATGATTCTAAATGGAATGAGGCATACAATCATAGATTTTTAGAGCTGGGAGAGGCTTAGAGCTGGGTTCGAGCCCTGCCTCTCTGAACGTTAGTTTACTCATCTGTAAAGTGAGGTGGGTCACATCCACCCCACTGTGAGATAAAGGGTGAGTAAGAGATGATTATCCCTCCCAGCCAAGCCCTCCCATTTAGGTCCAGTCCTGTGCTCTCTCTCTCTGGACAGCATGGCCCATAAATTGACTCATCGCACCAGTTCAATGGCAGGTTCCCCTAAGTAGACCTTCCCCTTTAGGGGAAGGCAAGGGAGGAGGTGGTAGAGGGACATTAGGGTGTCCTGGCCAGGGAATGGAGGGAGCGGTTGGTCTGGCCCTGTGGGTGTTCAGGTTTCACTGCGCGCGCGTGTGTGTGTGTGTGTGTGTGTGTGTGTGTGTGTGTGTGTGTGTGTGTGTGTGTGTTAGGAACTGCCGCTCTAACCTTCAGGGTAGTTTTCCCTCTTGCATAAATGGAAAGTGCACTTGGCTACTGACCTCTTCTGGGAAAGGAGCCCAGCCAGGGGGAGGGTAGGGAGGAGGGTTGTTCTGCCCGTAGATGTCCTCTTTACATCCTCCACCACCACCAACAAAGAATTCCAAGTGCCCTTTGACTCTTAGCATTATGTTGGTGCCAGAGCAGAGAGTAGACAGGTGATGGGGAGGCAAGCCAAGCACAAGGGGAACCCTGTCTCATCTAATTGTCTCCCTGAGGTCTTATTCCCATAGTATAACTTCGTGGAAGTGCCCTGTCTATAAAGACTTCCCTGGCCCCCTCCCCTGGAGTGGGAGGGGAGGGAGCAGTGTCCAGGACGTCTGGCTTCTTGGCCAGCTGGTGGCTAAAGGATATGCGCTCCATCCAGCTACTAGTACTGCCCCAAGCCTCCCTTCATCCCTAGGCTGGGAGCCATGGGAATTGAATGAGGGAGGAGCAGGGAGCTTCGTATGTTTTTGGCATTCTTGATGCTGAGGGAGGCATCTTGTTTTGGGGGGATGGGGTGGAGATGGAGGGTCCTTGGGATAGAAGAAAGGCAAAACTTTGCCTTTATGTGTCCTCTTAGCCTATCCTTTTTCAACTTTTACCAGTCAGTTTCTAAGCAGAGGAAGAGACTGAGGCAGGGGATTCTGTGGTATTAGGGCTCTGATTCCTGAACCTGATTCCCTATCTGACTTCCCAAAGAAGTCTGAATTTTGAGAGTGTCTGGTCTTGGAGTATGTGTATGTTTTCATTTTGACTGTATCACCCCCCAGGTTTCTGTTTAGAGCTATGAGCAGTAGGGGGGATGTCAAGGACCCCGCCCCCCTCCCTCCTTGCCCTTTATGCCAAGAGGAACCAAGGTGAGGCCGAGGCTCGGATCTCCTGGGCTTTGGCTCAAGGGAGAGAGGGAGTCGGTGCTAGGAGCAGAAGGGAGCTATTGGTGCTGGGGGTGAGTGGCGGGGAAGGTCCCTGCCATCCTCTTCCCTTCAGACCTTCCCTAGCATTTGTTCCTTTGGAGGGGCTGGGTTTGGACTCTCAGACAGGGTGACAAAAGCAACTTTCCTCCAAGCTGCTGCCACCTGTTGGGTTTTCACACATTGAGGGAGAGGGGGAGGGGGCAGGGAATCCGATGCCCTTTTCCCAGTGGCTCTTGTGTCCTCATCTCCTCCTCTCTCCCGCCAACCTCCCCCCCTCCCCAGCTCCAAGGATTCACTTTGCTCTTGACAGGGCCCCGGAGCAGGGGGGTGAGGGATCAGTGGGAGGCTGAGAGCAGCTGGAAAGGGGAGCATTGAGTGGGAAGGGGCCAGTGCTGGCAGGCGGGGGGAGAATTTGATGGATTACTTTGCAGGCCGGGGGGCTTTTCCCTAATCCCCTTTTGTATCCCAGCCTGCAGTCCCCTCGCTCTCCCCTGACAGGCCGCTGAGCAGAAACCTCCTTGTCCCTAGTGAAGAAAAGACAGCTCAGCAGGGTGAAAGCTAAATCCCCAGCCTCCGAACCCTGGAGGGGGTGGGGAAGGAGGGGAGTGTGTGGTGTGCCTTGAAAAGGGGGGCATGGATCTTCCTCCCTTCTACCCCTTACCTCAGCCCTTTTGGCAATGTGGGGTGAGGGGGAAGCTTCTCTTTCATGGGGTGGAGAGTTTGGAGGCTAGGATGACATTTAGACTTGAAAGTCTGGCCCTTTGGTGAAGTGGCCTTGGGAGTCTAATGAAGGGAAGGAGGGTCTAGCTGTTGAGAGGCAGGCTGGTGGTTTTGTGGAAAGACATTGAACTTGGTGCCAGAACCCACCAGCTGAGTGACCTTGGTCAGATCACTTCACCATTAGAAAACTCAACTTCCCCACCTGTAAAATGGATGTCATAATATTTGAACCACCAACCTTTCTAAACCTTAAATCACTATGTAGATGGAAGCCATTATTTTAAAGCTGTTGACAGTACAATTGGACTTCTGCTGACTGTCTTTCTGCACTGCATAGAATTATTATTGTGGAGTGAGTTTTTCATTTTTTACTTTTTGGAGGGGATAAGGTGAATAGGATCGGAAAGAGAAATTGGAAAGAGAGCCTTGGAGTGCCCTCCCAGGAGAAATCTTTTGAAGTGTCTGAGGCTCTTGGCTTAGCTAGGACTGGACAGTTTTCTTTTCATCTTTCTTTTTCTGGAGGCCCAGTCTCTGCCTCTAACTTCCCCCCCTCTCACCTCCTAGCCCGCCACCCTATTTCCAACTCTTCAACTCCTTGGGACAATGTAAGGGCTCTCCCTGAAAAAATGGGGGAGGGTAGTTGCTGTTCAGTTGGAACTCTTTCCCCCCACTTTTCATTACTTTAGGACCACTCCCCCTAGGTTTCAGTGATATGCCAGGGAATTCGATTGGGAGAAAAGGACGAAGGGGAAGCTTTCTCTTGAAAAGCCTAGGAGAAAGCCCTCTTCCATTGTGACTACACAGAGACAGAGGTCATGGCACAGGGCGTCGGCTGCTTGGAGCTGGGGATTGACCGTTTGATGTGTCTTGGGGCAGGGGCGGAGGACTGGGGGTCTAGATAAAGAGGCTCATAGAATCATTGAACATATTGGGGGTGGGGTGGTGGCTGTGTCTCCTTTTCTTCATACCCCCCAGGCTCTGGCCACACTCTAGCCTTTATTTATCAGTCTGAGTAGGGAGAACCCCTGTGCTACCCCCTCTGCCCTACCTGAGTCCATGGAAAGCCCTCAATGACTTCTTTATGCTTCTGTCCACACTTCCCTGGAGTCTGTGGCCTTTCTGCCTCCCCTCTGTCCGCGCCTCCACCCCCCACCCCCCAGCTCCAACACTACCTTTTGAAGTTTGAGAAAGTTAGAAAGTTCAGGTCAAGTTTGTTCCTTTTGCTCGGTGACCTTTCCCCCTTCCCTGGCCTCTGGGTAGAGATATTGTGGGGGGTTTTAGTTGGGGAGGTCCAGTAAATGAGGATCTCTTTGATCTTCCAACTGTGGATGGTGGAGTCCAGAGTCCTAGGCAAAGTGAGCAGGGGATCCCCATTCCTCTTCTTTCCTTCTGACACACACATGGTTCTTGGGGGAGACCCGGAGTCCTGATGACTGGAGCAAGAGACCAGAAAGGCCAGGACTGCTTTAGTTCCTTACTTGGTTGCCCTTCAGTCTCTCCAGACCTAGGTATTTCCTTCCGGTGTAGAGGAAGGAGTTTTGTAGACCAGTTGGTGCTTGTATGTAGTGGTGGTAGCAGAGATGGAAGGTTTTGGGGTGGGAAGAGTTCTATCTTCCTCTGATTGTGTGTGTGTGTGTGTGTGTGTGTGTGTGTGTGTGTGTGTGTGTGTGCGCGCGCGCGCGCGCGCACACACATGCTCTCTCTTGTGCATGCATGCATGCATGCATTCTCTGAGGTCTCCATGAGTCAGGGGGAACCATATCTGGAAGGGATGGGGATATAGGACTAGGTCTAGAGGAGCAGGCTGGACTATGGAAATTCTTTTCCCTGAGTGCTCTCTGACTTCTTTCCTCGGTGGTCAGCCAGATTCTCTCCCTTCCTGTTCTGTCTCTTCCCAGCCCACCCCAGCCCACTCCCCTCCCTTTACTCCACTTCTCTCCTTCCTCTCCAGGTGAAAGCCTGAGTTAGTGATCTTTTGTTTGCCAGATGGGCAGAACACAACAAGGAAAGCCAGGCAGCTGCGTTTGAGGCAGAGATGATATCCTCTAAGGCTGAGAGGAAGGAGCAAGAAGTTAGGGGGCCAGCATCTCAGCCCCTGTTTTCAAACCTAGTGTCTATGAATGCCGGCTGATGAAAGATGGGGGCACTTAATGAGTAAACTGGAGTTTCCGAACCTTGTAGAAGTGCACGTGCAGGAGCTAGCTCAACGCTGAGATTGGGGCTCATTGTCACACCTCTTTGCCTAGCTTAACTGGAATCCCCGAGGTAGGCAGTGACCTTTCAGGTCTCATGGCTTAGAGAGTCAAGGTGTGATGCCTGGAGTAGATCTGTCTGGGGGGAGCTGGAAGCTCCTCAGTTCTAATTTATTTGTTCTATTTGTATGTTGCAAAAAAACCCCAAACCCCTCAGAACAGGAAAAAGACAGTCCTTGACAGCTAAATCCCTGAACCCTTCTGTATGAGGCATTCTTACCCTGCCTCTTTTGGAGGAGAGGGGCAGGGCTGACCCCTTAATTTTTACTGCTACCAGGTCCAATCTGATCCCCAGGGCACCAGGATTCTCCTTAAGGTTTCTTATAAACCACTAAAAGCAAGATAGAGCTAATTTTTTTTTAAACTAGAAAATTAAAAGAGAAAAATAACATAAAACAAGATAGCAAATGTTTACTAAATGTTGTGTTGTCCAATAATTGAAGTGAATGTTTCTCCAGATCAGTAGATTGTTAGAACTGGAAAAGACCGTAGAGCTTGCTACTAGCTCCTTGAGGACAGGGACTAAAGGGTGGTGTTTTTGTTTGGGTTGGTCTGTTTTCCCATTGCTTAGAATGGGTGACTAGCACAAAGTAAGCACTTAAATGCTTGTTGGATTTAGTCAGGGGTCCTTAACCTTTTTTTGGGTCCAAGGACTCCTTAGACAATTTGGTGAAGGGTATAGACTGACCTCTTTTCAGAATAATGTTGTTTTTTAAAAAAAAATCATAATGAAAGAAAATGCTAAATTTC